TATATATATATATATATATATATATATATAAATTATCCATTAAAGTTACCTCAAAAGCTCAACCTTTAATTAATTAGTAGTACTACTTTTCTTTTGTCAATTATTCATTTAAAAAATCATCTAGAAGGAATTTCTTGATACTTAAAATCTACAGTGAACTCAACTTGTTATATATTTATAAGATCATTAATTCCAATTGCTATTTTTTTTATAAAAAAAATCCAATTGCTATTAACTTCAAGAAAAATATGTCCATATACAAAGTTGTAGCATGGACTTTTTGTCCCCAAATTGCATGAACTTTATCATCATTATTTGTTTGTATACAAATAAAATTGCAACTTGTTGGTAAATGAATAATTTCTTTAATTTTAACACCAAAAAAATTACTGCAGGATCCCCCCTTCCAACCCCTAACTATGAAATAAACACACACAAAAAAAGAACAAAAAATAAAATAAAATAAGTTGATAATCTCAAAAAAAATAAAAATATCTAAAACGTTTATCTTCAAAAAAGACAATCGTCAAGTTGAAAAAATATTGTGTTTAGTTTAAGCAATTGATTACATAATCCATCTACCTTTGAATTGGATTGACATCTAATCAAGGGAATGTTTGGTATGTTGGAAGAGTATTTGTCTTATACTTCTTGTTTAGTTATTAATTTTGGTATAATTTAAACGTTCAGATCAAAACGGTATATATTTCAGATTGTAAAATAATAATATTGAGACTAATTATTTTGAATAAAATAATGAAAATGATCATTAAAAAAGTACCTCTACTTCTATTAAATCATTTTTCAATAAGAAATAAAACCAAAATACCTAATCTCAATATAAGTAATTTCAACACATAACTTGACCTTAAACCGAATGACCCTTTACTTGTATGTCACATTTCTTTCGTTTGAATTTGTTTGTTTGGTTTTGACTTGATATAATATTTAAGAAAATAAAGAAGATTTTAAATTTATGGTGGTAAATTAAAGATACATAGAATATACAAAAACATGTTTAATATTATGATTTTAAGTATGTCATGTAGAAAGTTAGAATTAAATAATTACTAAAAGAGGAAAGAGATATTTTTTTAAAATGATACTCTCCTCACTTCAATTTATTTTTCCTACTTTTCTATTTTAGTCATTTTGAAAAATAATGTTACTTTTTTTTAGCAACTTTTTAATTTTAATATTTCACATGATATATTTTAAACCACATGATTAAAAGATATTTTAGAACATTTGACTTATCTTTAATTTAAAACTAAAAGATTCTGAAGTCTTTTTTTACATACTTAAACTTCGTATTAACGCAAAGTAAATTAAATAAATTGAAACTAAAAATATATATTATTCCTCTCACACCATTTTTTTTATGTGAGGAATGATATAATGTGAAAAGACGTTCATAGCACGTTATTCTAAATGGTCTTTAATCTTTATCGGAAAATATTATTGTTGTATACAGATTTTTGGTACGAAATGACATGAGCAACAAAAATCAGGTATTTTCGTAATTTTGGTGAAAAGTTAAAGGTATTTGGATAAATTCATTTATTTCGTGTACCTAAATTACCCTCAAAAGTAAAACCACTTTATTTTGCCAGGTGAAAATCGGGTCCCACTAAAAAAAAAAGCTAAAAGGCTCCATTTCTTTATTATTTTTCTTCAATTCCATATCTTCTTCTTCATTTCCGTTTCTTTTTGTAATTTTATTATTTTTCGTATTAATTAGTTTATTTGTAAAATGCTGAAATTTAATTATTTTTAGTAGAATTAGCCGTGATTTAGTTTGGATAATTTTTTTATTAAATAAATTAATTTGATTTTTGAAATGTTGAAACTAAGTCAAATTAATTAAGTCGATTTTTTTATCACTTTATTTTTATTTTATTTTTCTATTTGGTTTTGGTCGATAATTTGATTTTTCAAACATTGAAATTAAGTCAATTTTATTATCACTTTAATTTTTTTATTTTTTATTTTCTATTTGGTTTTGGTCGATTAGAATATATATGATAATGTAAGAAATTGATCTAATTAAATATAGGATCCTTCAAAAAATGTATGCATTATCTAAGAATTTAATTATTTCTAAGAAATATGATAAATTCGTTCCAACGATTTTATTTTATTTACAAAAAGTTAAAAATTTAGTTGTGATATACTATGTCTTGATGATGCTTGATTTAAATAAAAATAATCAATTAAAAAGACATAAGTTATTTTGAACATGAAAATTCATTCTTGACATTCTTAAAATAAAAATACAAATTAAAATACGAAGTAAAGAATTATTTTTTTAAAAATATTTATAACATTTTTTTAATTTTAAAAAAATTTATATATGATGAAAAAAGTTATATTAAAAAATCAATGTATAATCTTTTATAAACAAACACAAAACAAAATATCTAAATTCTCATATTTCGTATATGTCATTCTATAAAATACATACAGAAAAATAAAAGGTTCAAGAAATTAATAGGCAAAATTTTACGATTTTTTTATTTGTAATTTCATTAACTTCAATTTCTTCCATTTCATTCAAAAATTAATTCGAATTTTTCTCACCACATTCATTTTATTTTTTCTCTCAAATAAATAATACCATAAAATATGCATATTAGACATTTTGGGCAAGTCTTAAAAATTCTTTATAACTCTGACAAATGAAGTAACGTAGAGGAGGAAAAAAGAAAGTCGAAGGAATTTTTTTTAAAATAAATGAAAAAGAGTAAGAAGATGAAAGAAAATGAAATAGTTAGGGTATGAGTTCCATTTGTACATTTCGCAGCCAACAAAAGCCTCATACAAGTGGTTTTCTTTTTTGGAGGGAAATACAAGTGATTTTGAAGGCAAAGGGACATTTTCATCATTTACCCATATCTTGACAATTCGTGCCAAAATTCTGTCTTGCCAATTAGCACTACTCTTAATTTATAATCTTTACTATGAGAACCAAAGAGAATAATTAGTAGAGTAATATTACAATTGATATTACAAATAACTTGGCAAGTTGCATATTATAGTAGACAAGACATTATGGAAGTAGATGAATCTCTTAGACCCATGTGAATTGCATGGAAAAAAAAGAGGGATCAAGTTGAGAAAAGTGGTTGGGGCTGCCACATTATTAGGTTTTTATTCTTATTGATTTTCGATTAAATTAAATTTACGATATTTAATTTTTATTATTAAAAAAAAAGCTTTCCTTATAAAAGAAAAATCGACCTCATTTGGAAATGATTTGAAATCAAATTAATTTGAACTTGAAATTTTATTGTTTGGGTATGTAATTAAGAATTATTATGTTATATTTTTTCTAATAACCATGAAAATAAAAATTCCATAAGTTGTCATGAAAACTATCAAAATTTTCTCAATTGTTATATAATCTTATCGAATGAACAAATCATAATTCATAAACAAGATATCAGAATATTCTAAGACGATGTAGTGATAAACTACATGTCTTTATGTTCCTTTCGAAAATAAATACCAGTAATTACAAACGTTCAAATATGCACATAATTTTATAAAGATCTATTAATCAACAATAAAAATTAATAGCTATACTTTAATACTATAATTCTTTCACCTTGGTACACACAATCTTTTCATGAAATATGAACTTTATTTTATTTTTTACAATATTTAAAATGATCCTATTTTTCAAAATAAATTTATGAATCAAGTTTTATATTTAAAAAGTTTGGAATCACAATTTTGTCGAATTTGAAAATTTGAAGTCATGATCCTAAATTATATATCTAAATATTGATCAGAATTTTAAATTAAATGCCCAAACACCTATTTATATTCTGTCTATGAAAAAATATCACATAAATTAAGACGGTGAAACGCTGGAAGTAAAATATTCTTAGGTGGAGTCGTTGCAGGGCTATTTTTGTCAATCGATAAAGACATTTGTAAAAAGTTGAAAAAACCTCGGATAATGATTTTGACAGGCAGTGGCAGATAACTTAATTATAGTAAAAGTAGAAGGGTATTTTACTCAGACTCCGTCCAAATAATTAAACTTTTAGCAAGTTGATGATCAACTTGCATGGCACCAAACGTAAGCAATTAGCTAAAACGCCAACTCAAATTGCTATAATTTTGTCTTCAAAAAGTTGATATTTTCTCCCAAGATTTATATCTAACCCAACATGTACACAACAACTAGGAGTGACAAATAAGTGGATAAGAAATTAAAATAATTATAAATCATAAATAAGCAAGTCGAATCAAATTGGATATGAATTGATAAAAAGTAGTAGTTTAGATAAAATTAACACAAATAGATAGGTTGGAATGGTTTCATAAATAGTTAGGTGAAAAGACAAATCAGAGATGTGTTCGATATGAAAATATTTTCTAAAACAATAAATGAGCTTTTTTTTTTTTTTTTTGTATTCTGTATACAAAATATTATTCTGATTTCTTTTTATATATAATCTAGATAAATATTAAAATTAGAGGAGGGGTGTGGTGTAGTGCCAGTGGGATAGGATGGGAGCTACGTCAAAGTGAAAATGAGGTATGTTGAGATGGAAGAGGACGCATTAATGGAAACTGTCACTCAGTAAAATTTTGTATTTTCTACTTTCATTTTTTTTTGAATCATTTTTTTAATTTTTAAGATATTTTTTGACCAATCAAACATGAGATAAATTTTAAAAGTACTATTTTTTTCTATACTAAACACACCCTTAAAGTCAAATAAGTTTATACTTTCAAAAAATAATTTAATTTTAAACTTTTCATATTAATCTGAGAGAAATAAGTTTTAAATCATATATAAATAAATATTTATAATTTATTTTAAATTATAATTTTAATTTGTTTCCAGTCAAATAACGTCACTCAAATTAAAACGAAATAAATAGGTACACTCATAATTTATATGTGTGTATACATTTTGTGTATATATATATCACACTCCATTCTCATTTCTCTGTCTCTCTTATCAAACAAAAACAAAAGAGACAATGACTTCTACACTCCAACTCCACCGAATCAACAACCATAACGCCGCCACACTCGCCGGGAACTTCCCCATGACGACGACGACGACGACCAACAATGTCTCCGTCCCCGATAACCACCTCCATTACCACACCCACCCCGTGAGTCCCAACAACAACCAGTGCTGCTCCGCCGTAATCCGGTCAATCTCCGCCTCCATCGACACCGTATGGTCGATAATCCGCCGCTTCGACAATCCGCAAGCCTATAAAAACTTCCTTAAGAGCTGCCACGTCATCGTCGGCGACGGAAAAGTCGTCGGTTCTCTCAGGGAGGTCCACGTCATCACCGGCCTTCCGGCGGCTTCGAGCATTGAGAGGCTCGAAATTCTAGACGACGAGAAAAAAGTGATGAGCATTAGTATAGTCGGCGGCGATCACCGGCTGAATAATTATAGATCCGTGACGACGCTTCATCGGACGGCGGCGGATGACGGCGGCGACGGCGATAGGACGGTGGTGGTGGAATCATACGTTGTGGATGTTCCGCAAGGGAATACGAAAGAGGAAACACGTGCATTCGTTGATACAATTGTACGGTGCAATTTGCAATCGTTAGGACAAATCGCGGAGAACTTGGAAAAAGCTAAGAGTATTTGACTGTCTATCGAAAATAATCTTTCTATATTAACGTATGCGTATGTGTTATTACGCTGGATAATATTGTTGTTGTTGTAAGAGTAATTAGCTAATTGATCGTTATGATTAATTAATTACTGATTAAATCTTTGTACATTTCATGATCTATTTTATTTTCTTTTTTGGTTTTTTTTTTCTTCATGAAGACTGAGAAGTGAAAAGTTGATAATTTTGAAGAGTGTAATTAAAGTTGGTTATTCTTGGAGTTGTTTCAATATGAAATAGCTAGTACTGTTTGTACATTGTGTTATAATGACTATATGGTGTATATTCAAAATTATTATTTGTCTGATTGATTCAGATTCATATGTATTATAAGTCTTTTATATTGGTACGAGAAGGAGCAATGTGCTTTCTTATATAATTTTGGTAATACGTATTTTTTGAGATTGGATTATACTTTTCGTATTAGTCCACATAAATTTTGTTGTATCAAAATTTTCTTAATAACGAAGTAATCTTATTCATTTCACCGTATTAATAGTGATATGCATTTTGTATAGTATCTTTAAGTCACCATCAGATAAATTCGAAGCTGCAATATTACATGCATTTCATGATCAGCACATATTGCAGACTGAAATAATACTATCTATCTTAAAGAGTGAAAGCTTTAAAATATACTTTCAAGTGCTGTAATTTTTTGAGTTTTATATTTAAACTATTAGGTATGCGAATTTTCTATCTGACTAGTAATAAAATCAGAATTTCACTATCGAAATTTAAAATATAAAAAAATTGCGAATTTTCTATCTAACTAGTAATAGAATCAAAATTTCCCTATCGAAATTTAAAATATAAAAAAGTAATCATACATAATATATAAGATAGTTAAGTATTTCATGTTCTGTTATATATATAAAATTGTCCTTATATATAAAGTATACATTTTTTAATAATAAACCTTCAGATAAACCTCTTGTGCACCTGATTTAGTCGCTCCTTTTACTTAATGAACACAGTGCACAAATATTAATTTTTAATTTCCATATAGTCTAATTATTTTAAAGGGTTTACCAGTTGTGAACTTCACAAATTGGCATTGAATATAATTTATCCATACTACTAATTGCATTTTTTTAAAAATAAAATAAATTGCTAATCTTTGGACACTGAACCTGCTGGTCATGAGATGGGTACCCAACAACTAATTCCTGGATTTAGTTTATAATATAAAAAAATATGGTATAATTAATCTAATTTATTCTGTTATAACTAATTATCTACCTTATTTTTTCCAGATAATTAGATTCACTTGTTTGTTCAAAATCTCATTATGTCTGCAAAAGATGATAAAATTAGTCTATAAAAATATAAGTTATTCATACCATCTATTAATTCACTAATTTTATCCTGATTCGTTCAAATCAACTCATCCAAATCGTGATAGAAGAATCAAAAGCTGCAAAACAGTAAAGTACCAACTTGCAATTAAATCAAAGGCAAGTTGTATTTTTATTTTTTGATATTTTTATGGGATTTCTTGCCTCTCCTTTATTTTAAATTTCCCCCATAAATATTATATTAAATGTTGTGATCGGCAAAAGAAAGAAAATATATTTTCCAAGTTGGTTACCAAGTGGGCAAGGAGGCTTTTATTGAATTTCAATTTGTTTGCCTACTAGTATTAGTCAATAAAAAGCCTCTAGATATAATTGTAATTTCATTATATCTTAATATTATAATTGTAATTAATTATTTGCCTCTAGATATTCATATATCTCTGTTACTTTATACGTTTTGCATTTTGCTATCTTATTATAATCATAGTTTTCTGCAATTTTGCTCAAAAGTTTTTTTTTTTGAGTCGATGATCTATCAGAAACAATTATTTTATTCTATTAAAGTATAGTAAGATTTGCGCACATCTTATCATTTTCAAACTCTATTTATAAAATTACACCAAATATATTATTTAATAAGGCGATTTACCAATAGATCCAAATGTAATATATTGTGGTGAAAAATGTACTTGTCATCTTTTAATTGAATTGTACGTAGATTATTATTTATTTCCAAAAAATATTTTTCTTATTTTATCATATGATTATATATTGAAATGATTTTCTGGTTAGTTTTTGAAGATAAGTTTTTTTTAGTCACAATCATTTTTATTAAAGTGAAATATGTGTCCAAACATTACTTCGACTTTCACATACTATTATTTTTTAACTTCAACTTTAATTATTATATTTTCAAATTTCAACATGTCCAAACAAATTCTGACATTTTGTTCATTTAAAAACCTCTAAACATTTGGTTAATCGATTAATTAAATTGGTGATTAATTTGTTTCACCTTTAACATCTCTAATCAAATATTCATGAAAGATGCTATATATTGCCGGACAGTATCTCAAGTTGGAATATATAATTACCATTAGTATTAGTCAAATAGTTGAGATTTTTATGAAGCACTTTTTATGTCATTGATTCCATCATTTGGACTAATTAATTAAAAAAGATAAAGTTCCTATATAGAGTTTTGCATTTTGTCATTGATGCCATCATTCATATATTATACCAAAATATTGAAAATACCCCCAAATTCAGTATAAATTATTTGTTTCATTTCTGAGCTATCCCTAAAAAAATCTTTTTACTTGACTAGCTGAACTTAAATACATCTCCAATCTTGCAACATATATAAGTGAAATACACCCCTAAATTTCTGTCAAATTTAGAGGTGTTTTCAACACTTCTCTCGATTTTTTTATCAAGAGCATCATGCTCCTAGAAGAGTTTGAAACCACTTGTTATGTCATGTGGCAGATCGGAGTTGTATCTAAGCTTAGTTTAATCAATTAGAGGAATGTTTTTAAGACAGTCAATAGATCGAGGATAAAATTAATACTTTTTGTCAAATTCAAAAGTATTTTCAATATTCTCTCTAAAATAATAAGATGTTATTATTAATTTGTCGTACTTGGTAGTCTTAGTAAAGCTACAACAATAAATAACTCTTTCTAACAAATTAAATTTGATATGCACTATAGTAAATTTGGTCAAACGTCACAACTCACAAAATATAATTTTGGACCACGTTTAGAAATGTACCCAAAATTACCCAACAACAATGTTTTCTAAGTAGTAGTTAAGGATACATTTTTCAAGTGGTTAAGGCCTAATATGTTGTAGTGATGTTAACTGAAACTAAAGCTAAGTAATTACACTTGTCACAACTTTTTTAAATAATCAAATGATATTAATTTTAACTAATATTTTAAAATATATTTTTTCATTATATTGATATGAAAAAAATATAATTTGTGTGCATGTAACTTAAGATTTACAAGGAGATCAAAACATCAACTGCATCGCCTTTATCAAAATTCACTCCCGACAAAGCCTTCTCTTCAGATTAAAGATGTCTCTGACTTTATTCTCCCGGCAAGAAAAATGTTTTTACCAATCTAACTAACCATTCAGACCTTCTTCAACTCCAAGATGTGATGAGTCGACATCAAGGTGAACGATGGTTAGATACAGAGGCGGCTTCCCGGCTTAGATCGAAAGGAAGGACTTCACTTTCTGATCATTTTTTAGGCTATTTTGGAATTTCGAAAGCAACTACAATTCTACAATTTCCAATTGACCAAGTAAGACCACACTTGTCATGAGTCAAGTCAATCAGACTCAACGACCGGGAGTAGCAAAATGAAATCATATATTTATAGTTTGAATAACATTAAATAAAAAATTTGGACCTCCTTAACTAGAAATTAATCACAAAAAGAAATTACATAGAGTCCTCGGAACAAGTTCTTGAGAAATATATATATATATATATATATATATATATATTATGCTCAAAGTGTTAATTAATTAAGGATACAAAAGTTTAGCATATAAAAGCTCATTCCAAACATCTTGAAGTCCAGGCAAACACCAATGTATACAATCAGCATAACTTGAAGGATTTGCCTTTTCTTGTGGACTTAAAGGTCCCCATCTTTCTTTGTAAATTGATGTATGTGCATCTCTTCTTGGCATTGACAATTGAGTTATGTTGAGAAATGTAATTGGCACTTTTGATTTGCTAAATTCTTCTTTAATTACTTGCATTATGCTTTTTCTACTATCTGATCCCCAATAATTTGGATCCTCTATCATTTTTGTCTCATTGTAACAATTTCCATTTGGATCTCCTCCCCACTCTTTGCTCCTAATAACAAGCCAAAAAAAATAAAATTGTTAGTAATATTTACAGATTCAGAATTTAGACGTGGTGAGTTCTAATCAGGGACGGGTTATAGTTAAATTGTCAATTCAGTAAATATGAGTTGCTCTGGTTCAAATTTTGTGTTTGTGTTAAGAAATTCACTTGATACGTAGAAATAATCTGTCTAGAATATAGTAAGTAAAAGAAATTGTTATCAAGACTTTATGAACTTAAAATTCTGAATTATGAGTTGTGAGAATGGATATTTCTAACTCTATCTATGTTTATTTTTGCACACTATAAGACTCGACTAGGGATGTCAGATGGATGAGTTGAACTGAATTTAAGCAGATCAACATAAGTTAAGTTAATAAATAGACAGATCATTAATCCGTCCGCAAGTTAGGCTGAAATGGGTTGTGTCAAGAAGGGCTTCATGGATCATAACTCAATCCACCCAACTCTTGTCAAACTATAATTTCTTTGATTTTTTAGTTTACCATTCGATATTGATATTCATATTAGAGTCTGACTTGAATTTGTTTTTACACAATATTACAATTGTCTATTAGTATACAAACTTACCATGCATGAGAAGGTGACATGCTTGTAAAAAAGACCCTATTTCTTTTTGGATCCATATTTTTATTTATCCATCTCAATAAATTCTTCATTCCCATACGATAAGCATCATTAGTTGGCACATCTTCAATATCTTTTATATTATCATCATCAAATGTCCCATTCCTAAAAAAAAACGTAAAACTATGTGTTAAGACATAATTAATAATTAAAAAATT